AAAACTATGTCTACCACAATGCATCAACTAATACAAAGGGTGACTTACAATACAAAAAAATCATACGACTCTCAAAACCCTAAACTCTTATTTTTACTTTACAAAAGTCTTAACAAGGACTCCCTATTTGGTCTAGGTCTTGGTCTTTCATTTATAATCTTCAGTAGTTTATGGGTTTCAAAATCTTTCTCCAATCATTCCTTGATCCATGTTCTGATTGCACCTAAAATCTTGGAACAGATCTGCAACAAACCTGTTGTATCAGACCAATATGTCGAGTCTTCAAGATAGGACATCTTGTCTAACATGTTGTTCTTCATAGATTTCTTCATGTTAGAACATCTTGTTCAACATCATGTTTTACCAAAATTTGATCAAATATTAGAGCCTTCACCCTTCATTTGTGTATAACCCTTTTCCACCAACATAGCTTTATATCTCTCTATAGATCCATTAGCCTTGTGTTTAATTTTATAGACCCATCTGCATCCAATAGGAGTTTCTCCATGAGGTTGATCTACCACATCCCAAGTATGGTTTTTTGCAAGAGCAAGTAGTTCAACATCCATGGCCTTTTTCTAACAGTCATGTTTAATGGCTTGGTTAAAGGTTTTTGGTTCAATATGGGATGAAATGGAATAACATAGTGTATGTAAGATGGTGAACAATTGTCATAAGAAATGACAAATGATAGAGGGTAAGCAACATTAGGATTTTTGGTTTTGGTTGATGAAGGATTGTGTGTGATATTGAAGCAATGATAATCTGCTAAATAACCGGGAAGGTGTGTAACACAGATCGATTGTCTTAAAGGAGGAGCAAATAAAATGTTATCAAGTAAAGGTGGAGCAGCATGGGCAGGTCCAACTGTAATGACTTGTGATTGTCCATTGGATAAAGATAAAGGTGTAGGATGGTGACTAGAGTGAGTTTTGATTGGAACATGACTGGTATTCATGTGAGGTACATGACTAGACAAAAAGGTGTCCAATGTAGGTGTAGGGCTGGTATGAGAAGTGAGGGGTGAAGTGATTTGGCTAGAAGAAGAAGTAACAGCACCAGGTTGTAAGGTTTGGCTAATATTATCATTGAGAGACTGAATATCAGTAGAAGGTGAAGTAGCAACACCAGGCTATAAATGTGGATGTGATTCATTAGGGTCATCATATAGGATAGAATTAGTAGGGTTAGACTGTGTGTTTGAGGATGATACATCAAGTTTTGTATTTGAGGGTGATACATGAGGTTTAAAAGGAACGTGTGTTTCATAGAATATCACATGTCTAGAAACAAAAAGGTTGTGATTTTGTAAATCATACAGTATGTACCCTTTATTTCCTTCCTTAAATCCAAGGAAAATAACCTTTCTAGCTCTAGGTACAAATTTAGTTCTATGAGGTTGCAAAGTAGATGCAAAGCTTAAACAACCAAAGACTTTCAAGTGAATTAAAATGGGAGGTTTTTGATGTAAAATCTCATATGGACATTTGGGACTCAATAAAGGTGTGGGCAGCCTGTTAATAAGGTGTATAGCATGTTGAATACAAAAATTCCACATGTTCATGGGAATAAAAGAATGAAAGAAAAGAGTTCTAGCTACATTCAATATGTGATGATGTTTCCTCTCTACCACCCCATTTTGTTGGGGTGTTCAACACAAGATTTTTCATGAATAATCCCTTTAGATAGAAAAAATTTAGTAAGGGCAATAAACTCAGTCCCATTATCAGATCTTAGGCCTTTTAGGGATGTTTTGAATTGATTTTCAATGTGAGCTACAAATAGGATAAGGCTATTTTATTTTGAGCTTTGGATATAAGAAATATAATCCAAGTGTACCTAGAATAGTCATCTACCAAAGTCAAAAAGTATCTATGACATAGTATAGATTTGGTAGAAAAGGGCCCCCACATATTAGCATGTAATATCTCAAAAGGAACAGTAGTAATAGTTGTGCTATTAGAAAATGGTAATTTCTTTTGTTTACCAAAATGACAAGAATCACAAGGAAATGTATTATGTTAAAAGATTTGGAAATATGTATTAAACCATCATTAGAGATATGACCTAATATCATATGCCAATATTACAAGAGGATTGAGAACTAGAATGATGAACTTGAGAGTGATTTGTAGCATCAAGCACATACAGTCTTCTTTGTAGGCTAGCTATACCAATCATTTCCTTGGAATGGTTCTGCAGAATTTTGCAAGAATTAGCATTGAAAGTAACATGACAATCATTGCTAGTAAGAATTTTAGCAATAGAGAGCAGGTTAACATGAAAAATGGGAATGTAAAGCACATTGCGTAAAGTTAAGACATGTGATATGGAAATGCTACCAGACATAGAAGCAACTGCTTGAGAGCCATCAGGTAAACTGACATAGACAGGTACAATGGTTTTGCAAATATTAAAGGAAGCTAAATCATAAGATATGTGGTCAGTTGCTTCTCTATCAAGAATCCAAGAATTAGGATTCTTTTGTCATGAGAGAATGAAAGTTCAATACAAAAGGAGATGTAGATATGGAATTGGCTTTGGGTGTGGGTTTGGACTGCTGAAGTAATTCCATAATGTTGTTGTATTACTCTTGAATATGACCAATACTTGGTTGAGATTCATCAGAACCTGCATGAACAGAAGCAACAGATTGATGTGAAGAGTTGGTATTTTGAGATTTACCTTTGCCCTTGAAGCCAGGTGGATAACCATGTTTGAGGAAGCAAGTTTCAATTGTGTGATTAGTCTTGTTGCAGTGGGTGCAAACACGATTGTGCCTTCGAGCTCCACCATGTCCTTGCGGCTTGGTTTTAAAGGAAGCCTGGCCAGTCTTACCAGTGGAATTTCCTAAAGCCTTGTGAGTCTGAAAAGCTGTCACTTCTTCACTTGGAGATGCAGGTGGAGCCACAACAGAACCCGCATATTTCAGATCTCTTTCTTGTTGGATAACTAAGGAAAAAGCTTTGTCAACATCTGGTAGAGGATACATTATCATGATTTGAGACTTGGAATGTGCAAATTTCTTATTCAACCCCTTGAGAAATCTGATAACATAATCCTGCTCACAATATTTTCGAACTGAAGCTATGGCGCCACACGTACAAGGAATAGCACAAGGACACGCAGGAACCAGTCTATAACTTTCTAATTCATCCCACATGACTTTCAATTGTGTGAAATAATTGGAAACGTCAAGAACACCTTGACGAAATTTATAAAAGTCTTCTTGGATATCGGAAATGCAGAAAACATCACCTTGAGAAAAACGGAGCCGCAAATTCTTCCATACGCTAGCTGCGCTTTCAATCCATATAACTGATTTAGCAATAGATTCTGAAATCAATCTGTGAATGCAAGCCAGAACCATAGTGTTACAACGAATCCACTGAGCATACAACGGATAAAAAACGGGAGGCTTCGTGAGAGTTCCATTAATGAATTTATCTTTGTTCTTGTAAATCAATGCAATGTGCATTGATCTTGCCCAAGTATGATAACTCTTGTCATTAAGTAATGGTGAAACAAGAACAAGAGAGGGATTTTTGTTCGGATGCAAATAGTAAGGATTCAATGAATTTGTGGAAAAATCGGTGAAGCACTGGTTAGCCATAGGTAAAGATAAAGAAGAGTGAAAGAAAAAACAATTTCAACAACAAAGAAGAAGAGAGGAGCGATCAATTGAAACAATCGAAGAATGAGATCAAGAACGATCAAAGAATAAAAAACAATGGCTACCAGAGCTTATTAAGCTCTGATACCATATCAATGTTGCAATAACCAGAAAGCAACTTGGAGAAGAAGATAAAGATGAACTCAATATCCATTAGAGAAGAAAAGAAAGAAACAAAAGTTTGTTACAAAACAGTTATGAGTAGTAACTATTATACTGCATACATTCACAATATCCAAAATAAATATATGTTTCGGATTACATACAAAACATACAAAGTAATATGTGTGGCTATTATAAAGCTAAAATACACACATGTGTCGTAAGGCTTCAAGCTAAAAATAATATATACAATAAAAATTATATAATATATATGCTAATAGAATTGAAAAAACAAAGTGTAATACATTTTTCTTCTCTAAATATTAATTTAAAAAAGAAAAAAAAAACTATCAAACAATATAAATAGTGTATTATAAATGATCAAGGGTAAAGTGAAAGACCCACCGATTTAATTTTGTCAAAAAATGTCTCTAGATCTAAGAATTTCTACACCCCTGCAAATAGTATGTACTTTGTAAATAACAATAACATAGTAATAGATCAGAGGGCCATCCATGCAAATGCAATCCTATCTCAACATAATTTTAAAGAGCCACATTTAATACACCCCATCTACCCTCTTCTGCATGCCGTTATCTTGTCTGAACTCCCCCTCCAAGCTTCCTGTCATTAATACTAACAACAAAAGTAGTTGCATTTTCTACTAATCCCCTCCTCAATTACTCTCATTTCCAGAAATAGTTTCTCAGAGTGGTCTTAAATTTTTGAATGTAATGTATAAGTTCAACCATTAAAAAATAATTTAAGGTTCTAATTAATCATGTTTTAATAAAGACAGAATTTATAAGACTTTTTTTAGACAAAATTTAGCTGTGATAAATTTTAGACTCTATTTCGTCTTAAACGTCTTTTAAAATAGTCGTGACAGTATCGACACTTCAGATTAAAAATGTGTCTGACGTCGGATGCCTAACATTATTCGACACTGATACAAAGTGTTTCATGTGATAGTTTTTAAAATTATTAATGATGTTTATAAATCAATATTGTGTGTGGTGTCTGTATCAACCCCGATGAATCATTTCTATGAAAGATGGAGGGAGGGGCCCATTAATTTTCTTTATTTATAGTACTATCAATATGTACTTCCATATGCACCTTTCATTTAGTCCATCACTCTCATTCACTCACACCCTGCATTTATACACACACATACTCATCATTCTGATTTCTGCTTAGAAATTTAAGTTAACTACCTTTCTTCATGGCTTTTCAACCCATATTTCTCTTTGCTATTTTATTCTTTATTGTTCCTCAAAACAATGCCTACTGGCCCCCTTCACCTGGCTACTGGCCAAGTTCCAAAATCAGGCCTATGAGTTTCTACAAAGGCTATAGAAACCTTTGGGGACCTCAACATCAATACATGGATCAACATGCATTAACAATTTGGCTTGATAGAACCTCAGGTAGTGGATTCAAATCGGTACGGCCATTTCGGTCCGGATACTTCGGTGCTTCAATTAAGCTTCATCCTGGCTACACTGCAGGAGTTATAACAGCTTTTTATGTAAGATCATAATTTATTTTTTATTTTTTAACTTAAGTTTAGTGTGTAATAATTTACTAACTAATTGATTAATTGCAGCTTTCTAATAGTGAAGCACATCCAGGATTTCATGATGAAGTAGACATTGAATTTCTAGGAACAACATTTGGAAAGCCTTATACTTTGCAGACAAATGTTTATATAAGAGGAAGTGGTGATGGCAAAATTATAGGCAGAGAAATGAAGTTTCATCTATGGTTTGATCCTACCAAAAAGTTTCATCACTATGCTATACTCTGGAATCCTAAGGAAATAATGTAAGTCACAATTCCTTTTCAGTTTTCTAAATAAATGAAATATGGCAGATTTGAATCACAACTGTTGGCTGAGTTGGTTTAAGAAACTTTACTAACATTTATCAAACAATGTGACAGATTCTTAGTGGATGATGTACCTATAAGAAGGTACCCAAGAAAGAGTGATACAACATTTCCACTAAGGCCAATGTGGGTTTATGGTTCAATTTGGGATGCTTCATCATGGGCAACAGAAGATGGAAAATACAAAGCTGATTACAAGTACCAACCTTTTGTTGCAAAGTACACCAATTTCAAGGCCAGTGGTTGCTCGGCTTATGCATCGCGTTGGTGCCGTCCAGCCTCGGCCTCGCCGTATCGGTCTGGTGGGTTGACCCGGCAACAACATTGGGCTATGAGTTGGGTTCAAAGACACCACATGGTTTATAACTATTGCCAAGATTCCAAAAGAGATCATAGACTAACACCTGAATGTTGGGGTTAAAATTTCAAAAAAAAAGAAAAATTGAATAAATTTAGGGATGATTATTTAGGTCCCTAAACAATTTGATGTGTAATTTATTGTGTTGTTGTCTTAGAATTATTTTTCTTAAGACACTCTTCATTTTATAATGTTACTATCTTACTATGGTCATTTTCATGATGATCACTGTTATTTTCTTACTATGGTCCTTTTCATGATGATCAATGGGACTGTGATAATCAGAGGAAGCACATGATGGGATTCATGATAAAAGAAGCAAGCACATGATGGCAAAGCTATTGGTAGTGCTAAAAAAATGACAGCACTGGGGTACCCAAATTAATGCTACTCAAAATGAATAGAATTATCTTTCTCGAATTTATTGTGAAATTTCATGTAGTATTTTGTTGGTTTTTAAATAGAAATCATGTAGATATTAATCTACTTAACATTATTGATTTATTCGGAATTGAGTTTGAATTCAAAATTTTTAATTAAACTAAAAGATATTTTTGATAACAAAATAAAATAAAATATTTTTATTTGAATTTATACATTTACTTTTATAGTAATATTTTAAAAATCGGATCAGAGATTGAACCGGTAACGCTTACAGTTGAAGGTTTAATTGGTTAAACCTACGGTCGAACCGTTTATTAAATAACTAATAATATGAAACTAAATTTTATAGATACGTCACACATTATTATATATTCTCAACTTAATAAAATAAATATTTTAAATATTCATTATAAATTTAATACAACAATATCTGTAATACATAACATAACATAGTTCTACACTTTATATCAACCATCATTTAAGAATATTTTGACCAAATTAAAGAATTACAATAAAATAAATCAAACTAATTCAAACCAAAATTAAAATGATAGAAGTTTAAATAATTAAAAATACCTAAATTAAATAAGATAGAATACCAAAATATAAATAATACAATATACTTCATTAAAAAAAATACAAATTTGAGATGAATTACGACAAACAAATCTTAATTGACAATAACAAACATTATTGTATTGAACGACAATCAATAGAGTTAGACATCATGATTATGTTTGAAAAAGACGGCATGGTGATGAATAAGTATGATTTAAAAAAAACTATAATAAAGTGACAAAACATAAAAGTTTGTATGGTGGTAAAAAATATAGAAAATGTTTTTTTGTGATTGGGAAATGTAGGTTAAGTTTTGATATAAACATATTAAAATTTTAAAAAAATTAAAAAATAGTTAATTTGATGAATTTTTTAAAACCGGACGGTTTTACAAAACCGGCTCCAATTCTTTGATTCGAATGATTTTAGACGGTTAAATACGATTTTTTTGATTTAACTCTGATTTTGATCCACCAACAGTTTTAAAATGTTGATCCAACCAGATTCATCTCCACTTTTTGGTCCAACCAATTGAACCGGCCGGTTCGGTCTGATTTTCAAAACATTACTTTATAATTATATATAATAATAATTCCTTTTCAAAAATCTATATTATAAAAAAAGAAAAGATATATATAAAAAATTGGAGACTAGAACTTACCCCAAAAAATAAACACATAAAAAAAAATAAAATAGAATTAAATAATTCAACAAATTATGTAAATTTACTACTCTTTCATCGCGTGTCATGTAACTGAAACTCATTTGACTTGTTTTTTTTTTAGCCGTAGAGAAAACTCTTGTAAACGAATTGTCTTCCTCATTAGTATCAGTCATATGTTTAGCATTTTTACCATCAAATTCTTCAAAATTTCCATATCACAAATAACATTATTAAACGACCTTGTTTCATCACTAAATTCTTAACTCTCTGAGAATTATGAATCTCATTTTTTAGTTACTCTAGGTGCTTCTTCTTGCACTTTTATCCCATCATAGTCATTTTTCTTAATATATTAGCCTAAATCTAATAATGGAACATCATTTGATCCACTAATATCATCTACAATTTTTTGTATAACCTAATCCAGATTTGAGTCTTTTTTATAAACATTGTATCATTTCGTTGTAGTCCAATAACTATTTCTATTTGATGGTTAGATTTTATTAGAACATAAAATATCTTTTTAATTATTTTTTCCTTCTTCTCTGATTTTAGCAACATTTTTTTCTCAACAATATTCTAATGAGGCATCAATAATAATTAAGAAAAAACATAGTGAAGTGAGTTTTATTTTAACTCAATATAACATTAAAAGCATATTCTTCGCTTTCAACAAAAAGATAATTGGGCAAGAACTCTAACAAATTAAGTCAACCAAAATTTTAGCATAATATCCAAATAGTTAAATATGCGACATCCCTACAATATGTATACGATATTTAGTTTACACCTCTAGTAAAAGATTTTTTTTTTATTCTTCATTATAATGTGAAGATTTCTTTTCAATGACATTTAGGTATATTATTTGTTGATGTGACTTGTCTACGTGGTATTTAATTTAATTTATTATTATTATTAATTTTTTAAATCAACGTGGATATTATTTTATTTTTTAAAAAAATTAAATTATTTTTTAAAGAAAATTGTTTTAAAGTATTTTTTTAGTATAAATATTTTTTATTATTATTTTATAGTATTGGAATTATTGAATTATAACAGCCTTAGGGTGTATTTGTTTTAAGGATTGAAATTACATTCTCGGGAATGTGACATTGGAACGCAACAATCTCATGTTTTAAGTTTTTAAAAATTCTTTTTGGATATTTTTTATTCTCATAAATATTGTTTGCACATAATTCTTCTCACTACTATTCACATATGATTAATTTTTACTTTTATATAATTTTTAAAGTAAATAAATATGTAATCATTCCTAAGAAATTTAATTTTTATCAAAACACACCAGTGAAAATATTATTTCTAGGAATAATAATCCAAGGAATATATGATTCAAATGAATGTTTTTTTATAACTTGAAACAAACACCTCCTTATTTAATTGGAATTGTAGAATTATAGACATAAAAAATTAAAAAGTTGGGGCCGGTGGGTTTCAAACCCTTGCTCTTTGCTTGAGAGATAACTTGTTCGACCAACTAAGACACGCTTCTTAGTTATAAATATATTAAGGCTTTTCATTTATGAACAGACTATTATCAGCAACAACAAGAACAAGTATAAGGTGAATTGCAATTCTGTTAAAGGGTGAATTATTATACAATCACTAAGATTGATGATAATGTTCTATATCAGTTTTCAGCCATTCCAACGTATAATGAAGAAACTGTATGACACTATAATGAAGCATAAGGAAAAAGAGATTCACTCACAACTTGTTTCCATTTATTATCCCTCAATGAGAAAATCTCCGAGTCAATGGAACTAGAATTATTGTGTTGGCAGTACCCTTTAACTGGTTGTACCCAAAGCCATACATAACATGGAAAAGTTGTACATAAACATGGAATTGTCATCATGGGAGGCAATGCTCACAGGAAAGGGAGGTATTTGTTTGTGGACACGTGTGGATGGATTCCAAAGGTAGAAGTTTGTGCAAATGTGTGAAACCAAAAATCCTCGACAGGAACTTCCAATCTAGCATAACATCGAGGCAAAAAAATCAAAGTTTAGAGAAGCATAAGCAGAACCATCGTTAAGTGATGATGTATCCAAATCTATGAATAGGAATTTACAAGGATAGTTTTCTTCTATGAACACAAGTCTATGTGTGGGTGAGGTTGTAAGTTGAAAATGTGAAGTCACAAAATCGAGAGTAGAGATGATATAAAGCCATGTTTACTTACGCACATGCAACGTAATACAGTTTTCATCGAAAATCTCAACAAAATTTCAACTATCAGTTCCTGAGGAAGATGGACACTTTTTTCCGACATCTTGAAGAGAATGCATTTGGATTAACAAATCACAGACTCATAATCAGTTATTCGTAAAAGATGATAAGATAAACCATAGTTAGGATTTCTTTCAATTGCAAATAGCTATGTACACCACCATGAATATATCTATAATAATAAAGGTAACGACGGTGAGTTGGTGCAACAACAACAGTAGGAGAGATTGAATCAAACAGTGCAGTAACAATTAAACCTATAATAACTTAACAGTTAAATACTTATTGAAGGGTAGAATTCATTACTAGGAAGCGTAGCCTAGTTGGTTGAACAATCCATCTCTTAGCCAAAGGGGTTCAAAACCCTTTGGCTTTTAACTATTGGTTTTATGTCTATTATATTTCATTTATCCCCTTCGTAATAAAAATTTAAAAAAATCAGTATTTAAAAAACAATAATAATAAAATCCACGTGGATTTAAAAAAAAATTAAATAAAATGACACATAGAAATGAGGTGGGATCTTAGGGGTAAAAATTAGGATATGATATACGTTTTCGATTTGGTAAGCAGGATTACGGAAGGTTGAAAAGGCTAACAATGTACCTTGAAATGCAAGAAAAAGTCCAAGGTTGCAAGTTTGTTCGAGGAGGTTTGACCTAAAAAATCAACATTCTAAGTCCAACTTTTAAATATCATAACTTCTTCATACTTCAATATTTTTTAGTGCTTCTTTAGGCAAATGACTCTTCTTGACGTCCATTACAAATTCTCTTTACAAGTTAAGAGCCAACTATACTTGGAAGATTATCAAAAGTTTATAAACATTTGAGGTCACCTTATGGACTTAGTGAAATGTGACCTAAATTCAAGTGATATTTTCCTAACTTCCAAAGATCATAACTCTCTTAATTTTCAAGTTTTGTGGGCGGTTCTTTTGGCCAATTATCATATGTGATGCCCTCTACAAGTTTGTTTCAAGGATCAAAGACCAATTATGCTTGGAAAGCCATGAAAAGTTTGAAGATATTATATGTCATTTTGACTTAGAATTATTTTGACCTCTGATTATAGGTCATGATGCCAACTTTACAAGGACATAACCTTTTTCTCAAGCATCCAAATGAAACCTTTCTTTTCACATTGTATTCTTTGTTTTGATGTGATTATTTTGCAACAAAAAAATAGCATTAAAGGACAAGTGTAC